AAACCACAAGGAGATATCACTGAACTCCAGTGAGAATGGCCTTTATCAAAAAGTCCTCAAACAATAAATGCTGGTGTGGATGCGGAGAGAAAGGAACACTCCTACACTGCTGGTGGGACTGCAAACTAGTTCAACCTCTGTGGAAAGCAATATGGAGATACCTTAAAGCGATACGAGTAGATCTACCATTTGATCCAGCAATTCCACTACTGGGCATCTACCCAAAAGATCAAAAGTCACTTTATGAAAAAGACACCTGCACTCGAATGTCTATAGCAGCACAATTCACAATTGCAAAGCTGTGGAAACAACCCAAGTGCCCATCAATTCATGAGTGGATTAATAAAATGTGATATATATATATATATATATATATATATATCCATGGAATACTAATCAGCTTTAAGAAACAATGGTGATATAGCACCTCTTGTATATTCCTGGATACAGCTGGAACCCATTCTACTAAGTGAAGTATCTCAAGAATGGAAAAACCAGCACCACATGTACTCACCAGCAAATTGGTATTAAAGGATCAACACCTAAGTGGACATATAGGAGTAACATTTATTGGGTGTCGGGAGGGTGGGAGGGGGCAGGAAGGGATGGGTATATACAACCACAACGAGTAAGATGTGCAACGTTTGGGGGATGGACATGCTTGAAACTCTTACTCGAGGGGGGAGGGGGCATGGGCAATACATGTAACCTTAACACTTGTACCCCCATAATACGCTAAAATTAAAAAATAAAAATAAAATAATTATGATCACCATAAACAAATACTACATTTGCACTTACCTGAAGCAACAAAGGTTTTGTAAGATTATGAACATTGCTCCAGAAAATGAGGCAACATGACTTGCCTAAAATTCATGAGTAAAGTATATTAGACATAAAATCATCAAATTTTACACCAGGAAGGACTCAGGAATCATCTGTTACAAATCAAGCATTTCAGAGATGAAGAAAATGAAGGTCATTAAGATACACACTATATTCAAGTTTTCAGATGTAGTTAGTACAAATAATTTATTTCCCCAGATTTTGAGAGTTTTATAAGATGCAAATGGGACTTTTGAAAATATCACTACAAGGAGGATATTTTAATGACCTTACATGGCCATTGTGCATGCAGACAGCCTATAGTCACTTGCAAATCTGCAATGTGCTCTAAGCTTTAAAAATCCTCTTCAAATGATTATATAATAACGGGGCTGAAAAAAATGTCATGAAGATGCCATCTAATACCATTTTCCTAGCTTCCAATGAATGATCACTGACTAGTTAATGACAAAACATTTATCTAAAGAAATATCCACAAGGGCTGTCTAGTAAGGCTTTACTTTTTTGCTAAATGAAAGATTCTTAGTGGGAAAGTCCTTAATGGAAGATTTCTAATTCACAGTTTCCAAAATGAATTAATTATAAATCTTTGTTAAGGATAAATCCACTGGGGTTTTTAGGCCTCCTCAAAAATGACAATCTCACCTATTACCATAGTAAATGAAAACAAAAATGTATTAACAAACTATTTTACATAAGTAAAGCTTAATTACAATATTCAGTATTATAATTCTCCTTTGATTATTTACATTTTTTATCCCAAATAAAGGTGCCCCCCAAATTTAACTTCCAGAGTTAATATTATAGTTAACTTAGAATAATTAATCTTGCCTTGCTAAAGTTACATTCACTAAATGCATTAAAATATTTTATATGCAAGCAAATATTGATAACTATAAAGGTTTTTTAAAAAATCTATGTCATTGAAAATTAAAGATGCCTTATTTGAACATATAGATGTGACCCATGGGTATTATCTATACTCACGAACACTGTAACTAAATAATGCATATTAGTTTTGTAGAGGGGAACTGTAATATACAAAAAACACAATAAGCCACTTTATTTTACTGATTTCTTTTAATGTCCACTCTCCTGACTAATTTATTCCACCATTATAATGGCTTACGTAAAATATTTTAGAGCCATTATGCTCAGCATAGGTTGTTACATGGTTCCTAAATATTACTTTATATTCAACAGATGTCTTTTACAGAAATTGTGTAACTTTCTCTTAGATGTAGTTCTGATTCTAAGAGTGGCACTGGATTCTTTAGATACTCATGATGTGGTTCTTTCTAACTCCAGCCAGGAAGATAGAACCAGGCTCAGCCTCACTGAGTTCAGATTAGTTCTCTGGTCAACGTTTTGCTCCTGTCTCCTCTTCTCTTATCATTTTGAAATTTTAATAGTCTTTGGTGTCCTTATGCCTTCATTTTGTGATGTTTTACATGCTTCCCCCTAATTTTATCTTGGCATTGTTGATTACTGGTAGTTAGCTTTACTATTTTCTACAGAAAAATATTAAAGCATAACCAGGTGAAGAAATTGGGTTGAAATGAAAGCACAGATAAAGTAGTGACCCTGCCTTTGCTATCTATCCTCTTGGGAATCTAAGCAGAGAAAGCCATGCTAAACTTTGCTAACGTGGAAAGTTATGGTTTTCCCTATCTCCTGACTCGCGACTGTGTGGATGATGGCTAGGCTGTTATACTGAATTTGGGTAGAGAATTACATGGTTTGTTACGCGTTTGAAATCTTACAGCTCTTTGCAAATGTTCTGAGACCTGTTTAACTTTACCGTTTCAGAACCAAAGCTCTCAACCGGGTTCTTTTATAGTCATGCTACTTCTTTGGTATGTAAGTACTCAAGGAAAGACATTGATTTCTACATGCATAAAAGAAAAAAGAAAAAAAATGATTTCCATTCTTTTGGATAAATGCCCAGAAGTGAGATTGCTAGATTATATTCAATTAGGTCAATTTTTAATTTTTGAAGGACTCCCCATATATTGTTTCTCATAGTGGCTGCACAATTTTGCATTCCTACCAACGGTGTATGAGGGTTCCAACTTCTCCACATCTTCAACATTTGTCATTTTTCGTTGTTTTGATAATAACCACCCTGACAGGTGTGAGGTGATATCCCATTGTAGTTTGATTTGCATGTCTCTGATAATTAGTGATGTCGAGCACTCTTTCATATACGTGCTGGCCATTTGCATGTCTCCTTGGGAGAACTGTCTATTCGGCTACTTTACTCATTTATTAATCAGATTATTAGTCTTTTTGCTATTGAGTTATAGGAGCTCCTTATACATTTTGTAAGTTAACCCTTTATCAGATATGTAGTTTGCAAATATTTTGCCATGTAGGTTGCCTTTTCACTCTGTTGAATATTTTCTTTGCTGCAGAGAAGCTTTTTGGTTTGGTGTAGTCCTATTTGTCTATTTTCCCTTCTGTTGTCTATGCTTTTGGTGTCTTATCTGAAAAAATAATTGCCAACATCAATGTTTTCTTTTGGAGTTTTACAGTTTTTCAGCCTTATGTTTAAGTCTTTAATTCATTTTGAGTTAATTTTTGTGTATCGTGTAAGAGGAGGGTCCAATTTCATTCTTTTGCATGTGAATATCCAGTTTTCCCAACAACTTTTGTTGAAGAGACTATCCTTTGTATATTGTGTATTCTTGGCATCCTTGTCAAAGATCAGTTGATCACATACACATGGATTTATTTCTGGAATCTCCATTCTATTCCATTGGTTGATATCTCTATGCTTATGCCAGTACCATACTATTTTAATTATGATAGCTTTGTAATATATTTTGAAGTCAGGAAGTGTGAAGTCTCCAGCTTTGTTCTTCTTTCTCAAAACTGACTTGGCTGTTTGAGGTATTTTGTGGTTCCATATGAATTTTTGGATTATGTTTTCTATTTCTGGAAAAAATGCTACTGGAATTTTGATGGGGATTGCATTGAATCTATCCATCACTTTGGATAGTATTTTAACTTTTTAGCATTTTAGATAGTATTTTAACATTTTAACAATATTAAGTCCTCCAATCTATGAGAAGGGGGTGTCTTCTCATTTGTTTGTGACTTTTTAACTTTCTTTCACTAACATTTTATAGTTTTCAGTGTATAAGACTTTCACCTTCTTGGTTAAGTTTATTCTTAGATATTTTATTATTTTTGATGCTATTGAAAATGGGATGGTTTTTCTAAGTTCCTTTGCAGATAGTTTGTTGTTTATCCAAAAGAATGAAAATCAGTGTCTGGAAGAGATATCTGCTCTCTCATGTTCATTGTAGCCTTATTCATAGTAGCCAACCGAGATGTGGAAACAATCCAAATGTCCATGCAGGATGAATGGATAAAGAAGCTATGGTATATCCATACAGTGGAATATTATTCAGCCTTAAAAATGAAAGAAATTCTGCAATATGGGACAACATGGATGGACCTTGGGAACATTATGCTAGGTCAAGTAAGGACAGAAGGACAAATATTGCATAATTCCATTTATATGAAGTATCTAAAAGAGCCAAACTTAATAGAATCAAACAGTGGTTACCTGGGGCTGGGGAATGGGGAAGTGGGGTCCTTCTAATCAGTGGGCATAAGCTTTCAGCTTATGAATAGAATGAATGAATAGAATATGAATTACTTAGGATTGCTGGTATTCGATTTACTAAACTGTTGCTCAGTGTTGAAGTGTGCACATGAATTTGTTGTATATCAGCACAAAGTTTTTAAAAAGTGCGAGAGTGCCATTTAAATGGCACATATTTATGAATTAATGAAATTAGGAAAATTGATTTATACAATTTTATAAATTGATGAATTAAATAATCTTTGAACAATCTTAACTCAAACAACACAAACTCAAGATCATCACAATCTTCCCATCGTGTACTATGTACATAATGAGTAACGAAAAAATGATAATAAAACCAACATAGTAGAGTTCACAATGACGTAAAATAGGGGAAAAATTAAATACTGCATAGGCATTTTGCTTCTGAAAATTCTGATCCAGACAGAAAAGAAATAACTGTTAATTCCATTCAAGGAAACTTCTATCAGTGCAATCTACACAAAGTGATATAGCAAACAAAACAAGAATGTACTTAACAGAAAAAAAAAATACTTACTGGAAAAAACCACATCACTTTAAGAATCCAAATGGTAAGAGCAAAATTCACAACGAGGATGATGAGTAAAAGAAGAACAAACAAGTAGAGGCAACGCTTCCTCCATCCATAAATGCCAATTTTGTAGACGCACTGATTCTCTGGCCTCTCTATGTGGGTGCCTTCTGTGGTTGTGGTGTATTGCTCACGCCCCATCTTCCCGGGGTGCACCATGGGAGGAGAGAGAGGGACAGAGGGGGAGAGAGAGAGAGAGAGAGAGGGAGAGAGAGAGAGAGAGAACTTGTTTGTCAATACTGATTTACTATGAGCCTAAAAAAATATTTTTCACCTTAGTAACAAATTTCCAAAATTAATGAATTTTTAAAAAGAGAACAAAATACGACTTTGGAACACGTCACCGTGTTTCAATCACAGGAAGCTATTTAATCTGTCATTTAAAATATTTTAAATGACAAATTTATTTGAAATCTAGTGACCGTATTTTAAATTTTTAATCAGTACATTCAATGCCTATTTATCTATGCATATAACTTTCAAAATTATGCAGGCTTGAACTTGGAATTGAAGCATCAACCTAAATTAATCAAGTTATGAAGTTCTTAAAAGATTCAGTGGGAGGAAAATGAAGCTGGTGCCTATATTTTTTAAAAAAAAAAAAAACAATCTGGGTACTCAATTCTATGTCAAATGATTGAATCAAATCTTTTCCAGCTACTAACTTACTCAGAATTTAAAAGAGTACTCTGCATGACACCTACCACACTAAACATCTGCCTGTGATAAAGTTCCCAAGTATTGACCTAGAGAAGATCAGAATGTGTGTGTGCATATTCTCCTATGGTTGGTGTCACAAATGATCACCAGCTTAATGGTTCAACATGACATAATGTTATCTTATAGCTGTAGAGGTCAGAAGTCCAAAGCAAAACAAACAAACAGACACAAAACGGGCTTACAGGGCTAAAAGCAAAGGATGGGCAAGGTTGCATTCTTCTAAAGGGTCTTGGGGAGAATCTAGTCCTTCTTTTTCCAAGCTTCTAAAGGCTGCCCATGTTCCTGTTTTCCTGCCATTTGCTCAAGAGTTAATTGTATCGAGGGCAGCCCCAGGCCTGAGATGCAGGGCACCCACTGGGTGCAGCCTCTCCGGTTTCCCTCATTCCTCATGGGAGACTCCCCCAAGTAAGTGTCAGGGCAGGAATTCTGTCTGCCTTGGGGAAGGTCCTGCCGGGATGCAGGACTTGCTGGCTGAGGACTTAGCAAACCTCTTTATAGCACCTGAGATGTCAATCCGAAAACTTCTGGAATGTTCTTTTCCACAGTTTCAAAAATTGTCTTCCATAATCCTCATCACCCGGCTCTAATATGGCGGCGCACATTTGTTACTAGGTAACTAGTGGCACCATGGTGCATCCACCATCAACATGACGAGGTAACACACGTGGGAAGCCACTCACGGCCACGTGACTACTTAGCTGTGACTAGGGTGGGTGACAGGCACGTCGGTAAATGTCTGTAGAACACATGGAAGTGCAGGGAGGGGCTTATCCTACCAGATGTGGCCGCATAGCTTTGTGCTGCAGTGATGGAAGCACGAGGTAGAGGACAGAAGAAAGGACAGACAAATGGACAAAGAAAAGAGAATAGAGAGTCCGGGAACAAGCCCATACATGGAGATGGCAGTAAGTAAACAGAAAGTGAGAAATGAGAGCCATCCTATGTGCACAGCTTCTTCTTCCAGGGCGCTGGCAGGGAAGAAGGAAGTTAGTGTGGTTATTACACTAAAGCTGACGAGGTCCCGCTAGCACGGGTTTTCTCTCTATTTTCTTTCGGACTTCCAAGACACGGCTCATCCCCATGGCAATTAGCGGCAGTAATTCTCAATGTGTGTTCCACCTCACTGTTTGCACCATAACTCACATGATTGTGAATGAGCTCCAACATTCAGGAAAGCAAGACGAACGAGGATGTGTAGCCAAAAGAACACCATGGCAAGAAAAGTTTAATGTCAGATAAATTGGGGGAGGTATTTGCCTTAAAGACAGGACAAGGTTAATACCCTTGAAATATGAATGAGCAACAAATATGCATACACATCAAAGAAATGCAAAAGACTAATAAACATAGCAAAAATGTTCAGCAACACCATGAATCAAAGAAATGCAAATACACACAAAATTGCTACAGTTTTCAAAAATTAGGGAAAACTTAAAAACTGATAATAGCCGATATTAGCAAAGTGTCTCAATAATGAATGTGCTACTCCTTTATTGTTGAAAGTGGCAATTAATATAACCCCTCTAGAACTGCGGTCCCCAACCTCCAGGCCTCAGACCGGTACTGGTCTGTGGCCTGTTAGCAACCAGGCCACACAGCAGGAGGTGAGCGGCGGATGTGATCTGTGTTTGCAGCCACTCCTCATCACTTGCATCACTGTCTGAGCCCCGCCTCCTGTCAGATCAGTGGTGCCGTTAGAGTCTCATAGGAGCGAGAACCCTGCTGTGAACTGCGCATGCCAGGGGTCTAGGTTGCGTGTTCCTTATGAGAATCTAGTGCCTGGTGATCTGGGGTGCAGCTGAGGTGGTGATGCCAGCGCTGGGGAGCAGCTGCAGATACATTATCATCAGCAGAGAGGTCTGACTGCACAACACATGGAATGCACTTTAATCATCCCAAAATACCCCCACCAGGTCCATGGAAAAACTGTCTTCCATGAAACCAGTCCCTGGTGCTAAAAAGGTTGGGGACCGCTGTTCTAGAAAGAAATTGGGCACCAAGTACCAAGAACTTCAAACAAATATAGTAATTCTAGTTCTAGGAACTTATCCCAAAGAAACAACCAGGAATGAAAAATGAGAATCTATGCTTAAAGATATTTATTTTACCAGTATTTATATGATATAATGATGAAAAACTGGAAATAAAATAATAGATGATTACTATTAATTAATTATTATAGTAATTAATATTGTGATGTGTTATTACAGTATTACAGAATGTTTTATATATTTGAAATATGTTTAAAAAGCACATAAAATATGTTTGTAAAACATATATAATAACCTGGGGAAATGCTAGTTATGTAATGTTAAATGGAAAGATAGACTATATAAATACATTTTAGAATATATACCCATAGAAAAAATATTGTAAAGAAACTAAAAAGTTGTTAGTAATAGTTTTCTCCTATATGCTTTTTAATTTAAAATAGCATTTCCCAAATATTTTTCTGTATTCTTTGGATTTATCAAATTGATATGCACATACTTATTTTATAATAGTAAAGTTAATGAATTTATCATACTCATCTCAACTTTATGACTACATTTAGCATGACCAAATAATTTCAAAAGTAGTTCTGTCTTATCTTTTAGTCAAATTGCTTAGCGTGGTCCATCTGCTACACCTAAATATAGCAAAGTAGTTGGATCATAATTATAAATTTCATCTGAAGTTACAATTGGCATAATTCTCGCAATAACCCATACCCTTATCATAAACACAGACACACACACATACAATTTAAAAGGTCATCAAATCTCTTCTTTACAATAGGTTTGACTTTTAAAATAAATTGGCAAACTCCACCATTTTAAAAAGTTCCTTACAAAATACATGAAACCAACAGAATAAATACCCTTTAAGCATCTAACAGACCTGAACCAGGAAGAAAACTTTATTTAAATGACTAAAAGGAAAAATATTAAGCTCAAATCCATGGGCATACAAATGTTAGATTATAAAACTGTGGTCTTGTTTTGTTTTTTTACTTCAGCTATAGGCTCATTTTTAAACACATAGTGTAATATTTACAAAGGCGGGCACTTCAGGTGTACTTTTCTCAGTGTTTTTTTCTGGTTTTTATGAGGTGCTCTCAGAAATCTATAGCTTTTACAGTGTCCTTATGCGGCATGGCGTTGCTAACGAACCGAGTTAGCAGAGACACGACTCGGGATAGCAATGGAGCGAGGGCAGTACTTAACACCAACCAGAAGCGCGCATAGCAAAGTGTCATAGCAAAGACTAGCACATTAGGACACCTCGCCTCTTACCCCAAACCAGGTGTTATTTGGTGCCATATTTGCTCCATCGACCTCTGACTCAGCCAGTGTGTATATGGAGAAAGTTAGCAGTCGGCTGCAATAGGAGCTGAGTTAGTGTTAACCAAGCGCTATGTTGGGGAACTGCTGGAAGTCCAGATGCAACCTTGTGTCTACTTCTGTGTCACATTGCAGTGGCGCCTACTGTTTTCTTCTGTATCGTGTTATAGTGGGTCTCCACTGTTTTCTTGTCTGCCCTGAGAACACCCCTCCTAACCTCCAAGTGGCTGTGGCCCCCATGTCGGTCCTGTGGGCACATCTCCAGCACGACAGGCGTGTGTGAGGCACAGGCTAACCCACTGGGGGATGTCGTCAGTCTAGACGCAGTGAACGGCACAGGGAAGTCACGGGACCCAAGCACGCCGTTCAGTGTTAGTTGTCCCAGAATTGACACGCATGCCCCGAGAGAGCAGCTGGCCGCGGGTATCGGAAGCTGAGGGACACCTAATGCTGCACTGCCCGCTTCCATCTCTCGCGCCACTTGGAGAAGCTCCCCAGAGGAAAACTCAGGAGAAAGGAAAGAGAGGGAGGGAGAGTGTGAGAGTAGAGGTGAAATCCTACCAACGCCATTGGAGATCCTAGATTTGGCATTGTCTAACTGATTTTGTGAATTAAAACTTCCATCTTTGCTTGACCTTCTTTGACTTGGACTTCTGTCACATGAGCCTGAAACGACCTTGAATGACCTTGAACGACCCATACACCGATAGCTGCCACGGCGTGAAGCTCACACCGGCGAAGCATGCAATGCGAGCAAATTTTACCCATGTGATAAATAACGTCTTTCGACCGTTTTTCGAAGTATTTTCCTTCTGCGTCAAACAGGCTCTTCTACAGAAGGAAGTCTTTAGACAGACGTGCACTTTTCCCGAGAAAGTCATTTCGCAGGGTTGAGCTGTGGCTCAGGTCAGAGAGGCCATCTGACGGTGCGCTCTTGGCTTCCAAATCCAGTTTCGCTTTCCCACACTCAGTTCCCTCATCTTACTTACTTACTTATTTCACTCTCCATTTTATTTGAAATGGCTGGACAGTCCCTCCTTGAAAACACATTTTTTGTTGTTGTTGTTGTTTTTTTTACTGTTTTCTTACCTCATTATG